ACTATGGATTCTATTTTGTTTGCCATTTCCTATCCATGGCTAACAGGTATAGCTCTCTCCCATTCTATATGACCCATCTCTTAGAGAGAGAGAGAGAGAGAGAGAGAGAGATAGAGAGAGAAGCTTTAGTTTTAAATACTACTCAATAGTTGTACCAATTTTATGACAAGAAAATTAATTAGATAAATTTCTGCAATACTTAATAAATACATGTATTAATGCAAAAATTAAAATAATATTTTATTTAATTATTAGTTAATATAATTATATTAATTTTTACATAGTAAACGAATTTTATTCAGTTATCTAATTTTATCATATTAATTACTTTTAATTATTTTTAATATAAAAATTAGCAATTAACTGAAGATTTTTAATTATAATTGTAGTTTTGTAGAATTTTTATAATTATTTACAATTTTAGCTTGATAATTTAAATTTTTGATATACGGATGTTTAGCCCCAAAAGTCACCATTATACACTGTGTTGAATATATCAGCAAAACTATTTTATTATATTTACAGTCGTTTAATTAAATAGGAATTTAATGGTATTTATGGCAAAAATAATTTATGGCTTTACTATTACTGAAAACAAAAGCAACGATAAATTAAAATAAGGATTCAATGATCATGTGCTTAAATTAAGTGCTATTATAAATGATAATTTGTCATAAAATTTTAATTGAAATCTCTTTACATATATGCATAAAAATGAATATTAATTAATAAATGATTTGATTAGTTTCAGACCAAAATATTCAATAAAAGTACAAACATGATAAATTTTTAACAATATTGATTTAATTTAACAGTCTATAGTTAAGTAAAGTCTTTATACTTAAATTATTTAAATATTTTAGTAACATTAAAAACAAAAATAATAAATATCATAATTAATAAATAAATTATTCATAATTATTACTGGACATTAAAAATTTAATTATTTATAACTTAATAAACACAAAACTAATATTCATAGTTAAATAAAACAACATTAAAATAATAATTCCACAAAAATCACACAAAATACATAGACCAAAATAAAAAACTTACCCTCATTTTATTGATAAACTCTGTATTCCTTTTATCATAGAAAACGCCGGACGAGGCGTTGAGAAACGGGCACCGGAGTAGTCGACGGGCTATAGCGCCGTACGACACGGTAATAAAGACCATGGGCACCAGGAAAGTGAACACAAACGAAAACACTATGTAAACCCTGACGTCGGGCTCCGGCCAGTCCACGTCGTGGCGACAGTCATAGTAGGTTTCGTTACGGAAACTGAATGGTAGGGCTTGAGTGTGGAGTACGGCCACTGAGGCCAGACCAGCGCCGCTCACCCACCCCACCCCGAGTACCAAGTTGCAATGCGATCGTAGCCATGTGTTGGCGCAGGTTAATGGATGCAGGGTAGCGATGTATCTAGCGTGGTTTGTCATCAAAATTTTAAAATAAAATGACATGTTAATGTTTGTTTGTGCATGGTTAGCAATATTGTATCTCATTATAAATTATTTTTTAAATAAAATGTTATAATTTTATATTGTTAAATAGAATATGAAATGTATTTTTATAAAATGTAATTTTACATAGCACTGTCCCAACTGTACAATAATAATAAATATTATTTTAATTAATGTACAAAATAAATGTAATATATTTTTGGGTTCCGAAACCACCGGGGTTTAAAATACATTTTATATTTTCAACAATTTTTTATTAAATAAATTTTGTAAATAATATTTATTTAATTAGAAAAATAGTAAAACTTGGTAATATGTATCTAAATAATAATTCTGCAAACTTAATACTTGTATAACAATATAACATTTTAGACATTATTAAACAACAAGTTGTTATATTCTGGGTGACAAATATTAAAGTATTCATAATTATATATAGCATAATTTATCATGTTTTCCAAGAGACTACTTATGGTAAACTATCATAAATAAAACAACAATAACATGTTGTTCATCATATAATCTCTTAATTGTTAACTGTATTGCCAGACAATTGTCTAATGAGTATATAATCCGGGGATTAAGTGATTATTTTCTATGCAATAATTATTAAAATGAATTTATTTCAATTCACTTCATGGTAATCGTTGTCTTATTAATACATGTAATGTAATGTATTTATTAATATATTTTAGAAAATATATTTAAATATTAAATTAATGTAATAAAATAACAACTATATAAATATATATTTAATTATTTTATTGTATAAAATATTTGTATTATTTAGACATGATCATTGCTTAAGCATTAAATATATATTTTGTATTTATAGTTAAAAATACTTTCATTTTTATATAAGTATTTTTAATATAATAAAATTTTGATCTAATTATTAAATAAATTTCTTAAATAAATATTATTTTTAGAGGAAAACATAATTCAATTATGAAATGATCTTATTTTATAAAAAGATATTAAAAAATATATTATGAAACATTTCTTTGATCACACGATTAACATGTAATATTACAAAATTTAACAATTTAGAAATATTAGACTATTGTTATAAATTGTATTGTATAAATAAAATTATTTCCATACTAGAATATTTACTTATAATTATATTTAAAATTTATTTTCTAATCGATAATTAAAATTAAAAAAATTGCATCAACATTATAATTAATTTTATAAACAACAAGAATTTTGTTTAATGTAAATATTTGCAATGACCAAACTCGGACAACATTGTTTATTAATGCACTATTTCCCTTTGATTTTATATTGAACAAAAAACAATCATAGAATTCTTTTGAGTTATTACATATGAATTCTAAATAGATCTTAATAATTTTCAAGCTTTAAAGTGTTGATATTATCATTTTGTTTATGTGTATTATATTATATTTGTTAAATTAATTAGAATTATAAATAATTTTAGTGTTTGCTATATATTTATTACATACCTTTCAATGCCAATAGCCGTAAGAGTATATGTTGTGACAAATACTGACAATAACTGAACGAATTGTGCGATCGGACATAGGATTGGACTAAAAATCCAACGACCCTTAAAAATAAATACAATATGATATCGATTAAAATTATTCAGTTATATATTTACCTTATATTTTCTATTAAATAATATATGTACTGTAAATATTATTTAAACCAAAATCTACAATACTTATGTTTTGACCAAATTTATATTATAAAAATTTATATTTAAATTAATGTTGTTAAACTAATTAAATAATTACGGTAATAAGTTGTTAAAACAACATTTTTTAGATTTGAATTAATTGTGTTATAATTATAAAAGTATAATTTTTATTAATGAGAGTAGTGTTTAAAATAACAATACTATACATGATTACTAAATTGATTTAATAAACAAAATTTATAAATAATAAATAAAACTAATATATTAACTATAAATGTTACAATTTTTGTTATAATATGTCATTATAAAATATAATATTATTTGTACAATGTTTATATTTAAAATGGTAATGATTGCGTGTTTTTATTTTGAGATAATCTTATTTTTACACTAAAATTCTATAAATAACGAGAGAGAGAGAGAGAGAGAGAGAGATTCCTATTATTATTAAATAAATATTTTCAAACCTGATCATTATATGTAAATTTTAAATAAAATTTTTTACTTTTCTTTCTAATATAAATGCAAATATGAATCTACTTTCAATTCGTTGTAAAAGCACACATGATTGCAATTATAATAGTTGTATGCCTATTATTATGTCAAATATAAATATAATGCTAATTCAATCATATCACAATTGTATGGACTGTAAATATAAATATAAATTTTGATTTAGTCTGATTGTTTAAACATTCTATAAATATAATGGATTATAAACAAAACCCTGGTTTATTATATAATTATATTATTGTTAAAAACAAACTCATAATGGTAAACCGCATACTTAATTATTTGATAATTATAATTAACTAAACAACTATATAATTATTTTAAATAATAAAATATCTTTTAATGTAATTCAATTAAATAGTTCATTATTTTAAACATATTAGTTTAATAACAATATAAACTTTATAAAAAACTTTTAATTACCAGCATCAAATCAGTGTAGATAAACGGTACAGATAGAACGCCAATTAAAATGTCCGAGATGGCCAGGTTAATGAGAAATTTGCGCAAGTTCCTTGCTGAACGTTTGCCATACATCTCAACCATAATCACTAGACTATTGCCCGTAAAGGCCAGAAACGCGGTCAATGAGTACAGCGTTATCAGACATGATTGAACTCGTGGTCCGAACGCTTCCAGTGAGTCAATCTCGTGAGTGGAGCCGAACGAGTCGTTTAATAAGATTGTGGTAAAATTATTGTTGGCCAACCAAAGTGGGTCTGCCATCGGGTGTGACAATGCTTCTATGCTCTAGCTCATAATTATAGGATGTAAATTTACTAACTAGTACTAAATTATAAGATTAGAGGTTTATTTTTTATTTGAGAATATTTTCTAAGTATTTTCCGTTTAATATAAACAGCAATTTATGGGAAATTTAAATAACTATTTTAAATTCTGCTTGTTCTAATAGAAATAAAATGTTTAAATAATCATCATTCTCTCTAATATTATGTATCGATGATCCGTCATTCCCAAAATTAAACACAATAAGCACGATTAGTTATTTTTATGTAAAATAAACATTAATTTACAGTTTATGTAGTCAAATCTTAATATTGTAAACTTGCATACTTATAAATATATTAATTATATATATTATTATTTCAGTATTATTGATGTCAATTATAATAAAATTAATAATAATAAATACACAAAATGTTTAAATATTTAATATTTTATTTTACTTACATGTAAAGAAATAACATCGTAACTCATCAATGCGCTAATAATAACAAGAATAAACCAAGAACTAATCAAAAGTTTCTATCAACAATTGTTATTCATAAAAATATATTATGCACAGGGTTTAAATGTTTGTAAACACCATGTTTTAATTCATATAACAAAACAAATTAATCGCATGTAAATTGAATTTCAATTTATACGCCAAACAATTGTTGTCAAGTGTTGTCATACTCTCGTCTCATTAAAAAAAGCATTCAACTTGTTTTTCGCTCACTTAATATCACAAAAACAATTACAATTTATTTTTGGTAATGGGTAAAAAAATTCCACATGTTCAATTAATTGGTACTTTTATATAACATTTGAAACAATTTAAAATAAAATATTGATATATAAATAGATGTTCATAAAAAGTTTCCACAAATTCATAGCATTTTTTGCTCTCATTCTGTGTCTCTTTAGTGTCGATAAGAAATGAATGTGTTTTTGCTTTTCATCGGTATTTATGAGAGAGAAAGAGAAAGAGAGAGAGAGAGAGAGAGAGAGAGAGAGAGAGAGAGAGAGAGAGAGGTCATACATAAACTTTGTGTTGTATAGAAAAGTTTATACAAAATATTCTGTATATGAAANTCAAAGATCTGCGCGAATCAATACAAACATAAGCCGTCGGCCGTGTAGTCCCGGAGCGCATGTTATTTACACTTTATATAATGTTCACACTATTGGCCGCTCTATGAGTGAAACAAGTAAGTTGTGATTGAAATTTAATTAGATATAATTAAATTATTTTATTACCAAAAATCTTATGATCATGAACGATTAATTGATTTAGACATTGATCACTGTCATAATTAATATTCATTAATGTAATAATGATATGGACTTTTTATTTCATAAATGTTATTTAGATTAATAAAATAATTATTTAACTTTGATAACAAAAAATAATGCAAAAATAATTAAAAGCAAGGATATATGATATTGTAATTATTTAAGTGAAAAATAATTTATAATTTTTTATTTATAAAAAATGTAATGTATAAAAATATTGAAAAATAGTGTATATTCCTAATTTTTAATATAATTAAACTAATTAAGGTACAATTATTAAAACTTACTTTTAATTAAATAATACAAAATTAATTAAACGTTAAAAATTATTTAAAGCAATGTATTTAAAAAATAAAATTTTAACAAACAAAACTTATAAAAATGTTTCACATCATTAAATATGCAATATATTTACTTCAAATTAAATTGGATTTTATTTGAAATGACAAGTATGGATAAAAATTGTTGATCAATCGATGTAAAACAGTTTGTTAGTAAAGAATATTCCATGTATTTATATGTTATTTTTATCATTGAACGATGTAATAATATGTCTCTCTCTACTCTCTCTCTCTCTCTCTCTCTCACTCTAGACAGAAATGTTAACCATATAAGATTCTTATGTAATAATACATGTTATATATACCACGTTTATATTGATTTCATTACAGAATAGACGTTTAATTGGCTTCAAATACGACAAAAGAATCGGCGATTTGTGTAACGATTTTTCTCATTGAAAACATGCACTCATTTTAACCTATTGTCTGCATATTCAGTATTGTCTGATCTTAAGTAGCATATAAAGTACTTTATTATATTTGTATATAATTCTTATGTTAAATGTATTGAGATGTTAAAAATTAATTCTTAGTTTAAAACAACAAAAAAGTTAATTAATTATTTCAAAATGGATTTTAAATTTTAGCCATCTAAAATAGTTAAAAATTTTTGCAAAAAATAATTGCAACCTGTTGTTCTAAAACAAACTGTATTTAAAAAGTATCATGATAGGTTAAAATAGTTATACATGTTTTTAATTTTTTTTAATGGAAGCCGACTTTGCTGCCAATTTTTTATTATTATTAATGTATTAAAATAGTAAAATGATTGTTAATTTAAATAATAATTATGCATATTACTAAATCACTCAGAGACAAAATGAAACAACAAAATAAACGTTGACATTTTCCAAGTATTATGATAAAACCATATTGCTATTAGGATCTTATATTGTAATTACGATTATTAGGAATATTAAATTACATTCTCGTATAATTAAAGATATCTAGATAATACTATTTTCAACTCAAACTAATTGTAGTATGTAGAATATAACTAAGTAAACACCTCTATACTTATAGCAAATATACAGTATATTATGTAAAAATTGATTTATTTTAATACAATACTTGTGAACATATTTTATATCTAAGAATTAAGTTTACAAACAAACCTTGTTTGTAACCATATTCTAGTGTAATTAACTAAATTTAAATGCACGTAAATTTGAGTCTTAAAAAACTTTACTAATGAAAAACATAATTATTCAAGAGAGAGAGAGAGAGAGAAATTAATTAACAAAATTACTCCGATTTTTTCCCATAGAATATCATGTGATTCTTAGAAAAAATAGTTTTATATTTC